TATTTTTATTGCATTAGAATACGGACAAATGCATTAAAGCTGTAATTGTAAATTATGTTTGTAAATTATCTTACATTTTAATGAAAGGGTAACTAACATTTATTTCTGGGTAGAGAAAACCACCTACAAGGTGTGGGGGACTGTTCACATGCTTTTTCAGGAATATTGTGTTATTTAATAGGTCTACATTTGTATTTCTAAATGAATATTATACATTGACTTGTAAACATTCTAGGACACACTGGCACATCCCTATACCCCTCATGGAAGGTAATAATCATACTGGGGAATCCCATGAGCCGTATATTTCCCTTGGCATGAGGAGGGAAGTATAGTACAGCAAAATTGTTTTTGAAGTTGCTTTCACGGTGTGTCTAATTAGTAGTGGGATAGATTCAAAGTATATTGGTGTTTTTAAAGGACTTGTTTTAATAGTAACAGCGTGCACAATTCAGGCAGCCCAGTGGCAACATGCAGACAACTGTTGCAATACATAGGCAATTGTGCTAACTAGAAATACTATACAGGCATTACGGGAGCAACATCAAATGCACCACCTGCCCTACTCCTCATTACTGAACGTCTCCGATGCCTGCCAGTGGCCAGTGACATTGACATTACTTTGGTTGACCAATGTTATGCTGGTGTTTAGGTTAGAAATTCTGCATATAGCCCTACAGAACAGACAGTGCACAGTCCACATGTGCTTTTTTGCTTCCCTGCAATAAGGAAACAGGAAACATTATTTACAGAAAAGACATGGAGTATACCATAGATGCAGCTACAAACAAACATTGCCATCTACTGGTTGAATAGTATATCTCTACTGAATACTAATGTAGCTATTGCACAAAACACATGAACACTGTATTACAACAGTTTAGACCCGAGAAGCCAAACATTCAATAAGCTTAGTGAAATCCTACAAACACTAGCTAAAAGGCTCTTTTTGCTGATGATTTTTAATGTATAGAGTAAGTACATCTTACTCTATACACTAAAAAACTATTGTACAGATTGATACATTGTGGAGAGGTTTAAGCACCCTAAATAATAATATATTTCTGCTTGCTGAATGGTGTAGTTTATAATGGTGTTCAAACCTTTATGGTTAATTAACTGTCCTTTTTACTGATGATGCATGACAGCCTCTAACTATTATGAGCTGCATCAAATATATTTTTTTTATTATTATGTGTGTCATTTTTTTTCACAAGAATTACCGAGAATGGTCAGGGGTTTTTTTTTTAGGCTTCATGCACAACTGATATTTTGCCAGCTCTCCCAGAAACCTTTCCTCCTGGCAGCAGTGTTTTGGCCAGGAGTAAAAGTGTGTAACATGTTTAGGTGCGTCAAGAGCTTGGGCATTACTTCAATTCATTGGCCAGAATAATAATTTATTCTGGACAATGAAATGAATTAATGATGAAGTGCTGAACATGCCTACAGTTAACATGCATTTACAGGCTTCAACCATTTTTTTTCTGCCAAAAAGCTGCTGCTCCTGGAGACACTGGAGTGTCTCTAGGAGCAGCAGTGAGCTTTTGTTCTGCCTCTAAATGCCTATGTGTGCATAGACACATAGGCTAACATGCAGAGGCGTTTAGAGGCAAAAAAAAAAAATGCCAGGCTTCCCTAGGAGCATCTGAAAAAATGACTAGTGTGCATGAGGCCTTAACGTGCAGTTTTGCAAACAGCAAGCCTAGCAGGATGTGAGTTCTTGTCAGATAGGGAGAGAGGTGTCCTGAGTGTATTTCTGTTAGCACAACCCCTTTAAACAGTGTGCAAGAAGGCAACCCACAGAATCAGTCCTTATGAGTGTTAAGCAGGGGGTGGACTGACCATTCAAGCACTCGGGCGCTGCCCGAGGACCCGGGGGGTCAGTAGGGGGCCCCATGAAGTGCCCCTGGTACCTTTTATAGGCTTTTTGGGTGTGCTTTGAGTGTGGGCAAGAACACAGGGACCCCATGATCCCCTATTGCCGGGGGGGGCCCCATGAGTTGTCAGCCCGCCCCTGGTGTTAAGCAAGCATTTCATTAACCCTGGGTTTACACTGATGCGGTGCGGCATATCGCATGTGATTCACACAGGAATCACACTGTATTCCTGTGCAAATCACATGCGAATTCTGTGCGGTGTAATTTGAGCCATACATTTTGTATGGCTCAATTTGCACCACATCCGCACCAAAAAGGTGCAGGACACTTTTTTTGGTCCGTACTAGACCGTATCGCATGCGTATTCACGCCTATGCAATGCGATTCTGCACATCACACTGCGTTTTGCGAACTGATTTTGGGGTGTTAACTTTATACACACCCGCAGCGGTTCACATGAACGGGTTGCAATTGTGATGCAGTGCGGAATTCGCACAGAAACAGCTGCAAATTCCACACCGCATCAGTGTGAACCCAGCCTTGGGGTAGAGGTTTGTTCTTCAGTAACTAGTAATCTGGCCATGGTAATAGAAGAAATATGTACTGTGAGATTATTGTATAGCTCACTTCTGTCTTAGTTTATTAACATGAAATGATTTGTATGTCCTTTTCATAGCCTGTAGAACAGTGGTTCTCAACCTTCCTAATGCCGCGACCCTTTAATACAGTTTCCTCATGTTGTGGTGACCCCCAACCATAAAATTATTTTCGTTGCTACTTCATAACTGTAATTTTGCAGTGGGAGGAATAGTGTCCCATCATTGGTATTAGTGCGAGGAATAGTGTCCCATCATTGGCATCAGTGGGAGGAATAGTGCCCCATCATTGGTATCAGTGGGAGGAATAGTGCCCCATCACTGGTGTCAGTGGGAGGAATAGCGCCCCATCATTGTTATCAGTGGGAGGAATAGTGCCCCATCATTGGTATCAGTGGGAGGAATAGCGCCCCATCATTGGTATCAGTGGGAGGAATAGCGCCCCATCAGTGGTATCAGTGGGAGGAATAGCGCCCCATCAGTGGTATCAGTGGGAGGAATAGTGCCCCCCATCATTGTTATCAGTGGGAGGAATAGTGCCCCATCATTGATGTCAGTGGGGGGAGAATAGTGCCCCATCGTTGATGTCAGTGGGGGGAGGAATAGTGCTCCATCGTTGGTGTCAGTGGGTGGAGGAAAAGTGCACCATCGTTGATGTCAGTGGGGGGAGGAATAGTGCCCCATCGTTGGTGTCAGTGGGAGGAATAGTGCCCCATCATTGGTATTAGTGACACCAATGATGGGGCACTATTCCTTCCACTGACACCAATGATACTTACCTTGCTGACCCCTGCTCCAGCCTGGGCTCGCTCCCTCCCTCTCCCATCTACAGCCAGCATACCTGGCTGCAGCAGCACCATCTGCACGGTACAGACACTTACCAGTCAGCTGTCTTCTTTCTCCAGCCGCTTTCCTCTTCACTTGCTCCGGCAGGTTCCTCACTCGATCTTCTTTGATCTTCGCGCTGCCACTCGGCTCCTCCTCTCCAAGCTCCACCTCCTCGCCGGTGATTGGCCACCTGTGTGCCTCTCCTGAGCTACAGTTCCGGCGGCCAATCACTGGCGAGGAGGCGGAGCTGTTGAGTGATCCCGGGGGTGTGGCCAGATGACAGGGGCGGCATGTCATGCTGCCTACACATCGCTGTCTAGGGAAATGTGGGCGTATCTGCATGTGGGCGGACCCGCCTGGAGACGGATAGAGGAGCGGTGTCTCGGTTCCTAAGACCATCGGAAATATGTGTTTTCTGATGGTCTTAGGCGACCCCTGTGAAAGGGTCGTGTGACCCACAAAGGAGTCGCGACCCACAGGTTGAGAACCGCTGCTGTAGAAAATGTAGCAAAGTTTAATATATTGAAACACACAGATCCAGAACAGACTGCTTTCTAATAAGCCACTCTTTAAAGCAGAACTTTGATCAACTTGTAAAAATGACCTTTTGCTAGCTTCTATTGCAAGCTCATTAACCTCCTTAGCGGTGTTCCCGAGTGTAGCTCGGGGTAGAATTTTCTATACCAAAAGCGGTAACCCCAAGCTACACTTGGGCTTACCATGCAGCGTTCTCTGGGGGTCCCTGCAGCACTTACCTTGTCCTTCGCTCCCACGATGGGTCCCCTGCAGCGTCCCCGTCCATCTCCTCCCGGCGGATGCTGGCATCTGGCTTCCGTGTTCAAGTCCCTGTGACGTTGGAACGTTCGGGCGGCGGAACCGGCGGGAAATTTGAAATTTTTTAAAAATGACATTTTTGCTGTCATTGCTTTTTCACTGCATTTCACATACATTTTGTCCCCACTGCTTTGTCCTGTGCCTGCCTGCATTTTGAATGTTCTTTCTGCCTGGAAACTTAGAAAGGTCCATGCCGGCCAAAAAGCGTCCCTTTACGTCAAAAGCGGTTTTAGAACAGCGATAGTAAATCAGAACCACTTGCAGAATTGAGTGATAATGATTTGTGGGGAAATTCGTCATCAGATACTGAAAACAATTTTGCGACATTGCTCAGCGATGTGCGAATTTGCCTCTGTATTTCAAATTTCAGTGTTTTTGGTTTGATTATATTATTGAATTAAATTTATTATTATTATATTGTTATTTTTTATGATTATTTATTAAATTATAATTTATGATTTCGTGTTTCAAGTTTTATCATACCTGGGATGTTTAATAGACTCTCTTTTTCGGACAGATTTCAGTGAGTTATTCCTAAAAATTACAGCCTACAATAAAAAACTACATATTTCCATGCAAAAAAATGGTACCGCTTTCTTTCACACAAAAAACCGGAAAGAATCATACCGCCAAGGAGGTTAAGGTTCCATGCACACTAGTGTTTTTTTAACCACTTCCCGACCGGCCGTTGTATATAAAAACGGCCGGACGGTGGGCACTGCAGGGTCGGGTGGCCGTCTATAAACGGCCTCCCCGCACCCTGCTTGTGCGCGCTCCCTGGGAGCGTGCAGCACCGCGATCCGGTGCCCGCTGTGTCCTCCGGACACAGTGAAACACCAATCGTCGGACGGGACCTCTGTACGAGGTCCCGATCATGTGATCACTGATTGGCCAATCAGTGATCACACATGCAAAGTAGTAAGCAAGATGTCACTTCTGACATCATTGCTTACTACGTGTGAAATCTGTGAATGATCACAGAGGTCACATGGTACAAGGCTATTCACAAAAGCCTTGTGCAGACCAATCACAGCTCACTCAGTTCTTTTCAATGAGTGCAACAATGCACACAGAGAGAAAGAGAAATGATTGCTTTTACATTCCTATATGGGTGTAAAAGCAATCAGTGTAAAAAAAAAAAAAAAAAAATCTTCATCACCCCTCACAAGTAGTACAGTGTCACCATGGTGACACTGTACTGCTAGGGTGACAGTATGTAAAAAAAAATAAATAAATAAAAAATAATAATATAAAAAAATAAAATAAAAATGTAAAAAAAAATGTTTAAAAATTATAATTTTTGCTTATAAACTAATTTGGATTTTTTTTTTTTTTTACTAAAAAGATAACGGAATAAATTTTGGCTAAGATTTATGATGAAATATTATTTTATTTGCAAAATTTTATAAAAAAAAAACACTTTTTTCAAAATTTTTGGACATTTCATTTACATAGCAAAAAAAATACAAATCCCAGTGGTGAATAAATACCACCAAAATAAAGCTTTATCTATCTAAAAAAAATGGTAAAAAATTCATTTGGGTACAGTGTTGCATGGCCGCGCAATTGTCATTCAAAGTGTGATAGCGCTAAAAGCTAAAAATTGCCCTGGTCAGGAAGGGAGTAAAAGTGTCCGGTCTGGAAGTGGTTAAGCTAAAAAAAATGCTGGATAAAACCGCTGGTAATATCATTTTAGTAGCACTTAGAAGCATTAGCATTTTATTAGAATTTTACAGTACATGTAGAGAAAAAAAAAAAGCTAGAAAAAAGTCTCAAGAGCGTTTTAGTAGCGTTTTTTTCTCTGCTGGAAAAACGCTCCAAAAATGATAACAACCTAAAGTAGTGTGCATGGACACATCGGATAACACTATTTAGCTTCTATGAGCAGAAAAAATGCTAACAGCAGCTTCTAGGAGCTTAAAAAAACACTAGTGTGCATGGAGCCTAAAGCTGTATTAAACCCAACAGCAAACATTTATTTTATTGCAGCTAACCAATTCTTAGGTGTGTGTGATAGCTGTTTTTTTTTTTCCTCTATTTTTACTGGGTGATATGGCCAGTAAGTCTGTTTTTCAAAAGAACAAACTCTCCAGCAAATGTATCAAATTACAGAGATGAGTCAAACCATTTAACACTGACATGGGATGTTTACAATGATCTATTTTTATTTATTTATGTAAAAGTTTTATCCCAAAAGAAAAAAAAAAACTGTTGCTGTAACTGTTTATAAAGTGTTAGCTGGAGTTCAGCTTCAATTGGTTAGTGCATTTAAATCTGCTAGTACATCTAACATTCCCCTCCCTGCAGAATGATAATGCTGCTGTCCCTGTTCTCCTTTTAGCCAGAGTGGAGGCACTCTAATTCAGGAGGGGTATTACTGGACAGATCACCAGGTCAAAACAGAGAAAAAAGCCTAAAAAAAACCCAGTGCAGCCACCACATCTAATCATTGGTAAGCTGCAGTATATTAAATTCTTTGTTTTGGTTTTATTACTGCTTTAAAGTGCTACTAAACCCAGGACCCTGCATTCACTATATCCAGTCTTCCACAGTACACAGAACATGGAAATGCAATTACTTTAGTAAATATAAACTGCTAAATACCTTTTCTCATCAGCAGTATATAGCAGTCTTGTGACTTCTATCAGTGTCTGGCTGGGCACTGGTTAATCTTGTAGGAGGAGTTTTCATTCTACTCTGACTGTCCTATGAGGCTGCATGACCCCAGACCCTCTGGCTAGACAATACTGATTGGCCCTGAACTGATCACATACTGATTGGCCCTGAACCGATCACATGCATCCCCCCCCCAAAAAAAAAAAACTCTCTAACAATATACACCAAACTGAGCATGTGCAGAGTGTCTCCTAGGGCTCTGTACTATCAACAGATGGATTGTGGACTGTGGAAGGAGGGGAGGATCAGAGAAGACAGGATCAAACAGCCTTTTTACATAATGCGAAGGATTAACCCCTTAGGTTCCACAGTGAGTATAACAAGCATGCTTTACTGCATATACAGACTAATTTTATTGTTGTGGGTTTAGTAGCACTGTAATGCCAGCCATAGACGATTCGAAAACCAGCCGATTTTTTGGCCGAAAAAAAAAAAATAAATAATCGGCCAATTTTCGCACTGTTAGTGGGTTAATTGGTTGGCCATTTTTTGGGGTTTTTTTGCACTTTGAGATTTTCAGTCATATTGGAAAATTTGCTGCTGATTTGGACGATCTGCCGATTTTCCCGGAAATGATGGCCAAATCGGGCCGACCGTTTTAACGATAAAAAATCTGCGCATGAGCAATGACCTCCAAAGGACATAAATTATGGGTTGAACTTTATGATTTAGTCGGCCGATTTTTTTAATCGTTGTTGGTAACGTCGGCCGAATGAACGTCCGATTTTTCGTTTATGGTTGGAAAAATCGGCCGATGTGTTGACCCGTCTATGGCCTGCATAAGTCTAGGGGCTATAATGGAGATAAATAATTACCTTATTCCTTCCTCTCATAGGCATCCTCCCAGCCAGACAACCGTTCTCTCTTCTTCATCGGTCATAAAGCTGCCTTTAAATAAGTTTGTCAATGTTATTACGTACAATGCAGGACCAGCCATTCTTCACTGTACATGAGGACTTCAGGGATCCAGCCACATAGTGGGAGCAGACGAGAGTGGATGAAAGCACCAGCTGCCAGGGAAGCAGGAAAAAAGGTAAATATGTTATAGTACTTTTTAAGACAATATTTTAAAAATATTGAAGAAAACAATGTAATTAGCCTTTAGGCCACATAACTAGCATTTTCAGAAAAAGAACCTTGATAATATTAATATATATGACTGTTTTTTTACACTATTTGATTGCTCCATTCTCTATGTATCCAATACTTAGCACAATGTTTATACTGTATATTTATTCAGTCTTTTATACTTTGTTTCTGTTCTTTTTTTTTCTTTTTCAATAGATGCTTTCATTGAACATGTGCATTATATTATGATTATTACCACATTTAGCATTTCCTAGACCTTTGTGGCAATATCGTGTGGCATAAAAACCTGGAACTACAACTACTTTATTCTCTAGGGTGTCTGCTTTCAGAAAATATATGTTTGGGGGTTTTGAGTAATCTTCAGGCCTAAAATGATTTTGTAAACGTGCGCAATAAAAAATAAAAAAAAGGCTCTGGCAGTGAACGGGTTAAAAGCTGCTAGAGGAAACAATAAAATCTAGCATTATTTTTATTTATAACCCTATTATATCCACTTGCTGACCACACAACATAGCTTTACTGCTACAGTGCGGGCTGGCTGCCAAAAACTTGGTTTTGCTTTTCCAGGTAGGGGGCGTGCACCTTCCTGTGCTGTCATTGGCTCCCTGACATGCTGATCAATGGGTGTCGGCCAAGGATTCATGGCTGGGACCCGCTGGTCGTCAGAGCTAGTGACCACAGCGAGATCTGTGTTGATAAACAAAAACTGTCACATCTTCTAGTAAAACAGTAAATATTGCACATATCACATATATGTAGGCACACAGTTAGCCCTTTGATTGCCCCAGATGGTAATCCCTTCCTGCCCAGTGTCATTAGTACAGTGGCAGTGCATTTTATTAGCAATTTTATTAGCAATGATCACTGTATTCGTGTCACTGGTCATATTAGTGTCAGTTAGCAGGTGTCAGAATGCCCACCATACTATAACAGTTCCGCTATAAGTCGCTGATCTCCGCCATTACTAGTATAAAGAAAAAAACAACACAGTATATATACTGTATACTGTAATTTATAGATGCTATAGTTTTCACGCAAACCAATTAATATACACGTCGGGATTCTTTTTTACCAAACATATAGCAGAATACATTTTGGCCTAAATTTATGACATTTTATTTTTTACATTTTTTTATGGGATATGTTTTATAGCAAAAATTAAAAAATATTGGGGGGGGGGGGGGGTTTCAGTCTTTTTTCGTTTGTAGCGCAAAAAATAAAAAAAACTGTGGTGATCAAATACCACAAAAAGAAAGCTATGCTTGTGTGAAAAAAAATTATATATATTTTGTTTGGGTACAGTGTTGCATGACTATGCAATTGTCAGTTAAAGTAGTTCAGCGCCATATAACAAAAAGTGGCCTGGTCATGACCGGGGTGTGGGGGTAAATCTTCCAGAGGGCAAGTGGTTAAACTACACTTCAGTGTTCGGCTCATGATACAATGCATTGCACAATAGTTGGAATTGTTATACCTACTAGCTTATGCATTAAAGAGCACACAGAGAGATGCATTAGTTATTTATTTATTTCAGGTACTTATATTGCACCATCAATTTACGCAGCACTGTACATATATATTGTACATTCACAGCAGTCCCTAACCCTCAAGGGGTGTACAATCTAAGGTCCCTAACTTACATTCATACATACACATACTAAGGCCAATTTAGACAGGAGCCAGTTAACCTACCAGCATGTCTTTGGAGTGTGGGAGGAAACCCACGTAGGCACAGGAAGAACATGCAAACTCCAGGCAGGTGGTGCCGTGGTTGGGATTCAAACCAACAACCCTAGTACTGCCAGGTGGAAGTGCTAACCATTAAGCCACTGTGCTATCCTTTGCAATTGTAATTGCTAAGTGTCTCTCTTTCTGCAGGACAGCACCCCCCCCCCCTTTTCTTTCAAAGCATTTTGCTCCCCCATTATACTGCCAACTGTCTTGACAAGCATTTTTTTCCAGAAATTGTGACAATACATAGTCATAACAATCAAACAGAATTCATTTTATGTAACCCTGTACAATGTGAATTATGATTGAATGCTCTGGGTAGTGCACAAAGTACATTGCTCCCTGCATAATCTTATAGAATCAGCCCTTTAGACTGGACTGATTGTTTCTTCTTAATACCTTCCAGTAAAACTATAACTGACAGTTGTAGTAAGTGCCCAGGTTGACTGTGAAGTATTAATGTTGTTACTGGATTTTTTTTACCACTTTCGAAAATATCAATGTTTAGTACACGGAGGCTATGTATATGTTGTGTAAAAAGTATTTA